GTAGTCCTCTTACCATACTCTTCTAAAATGTGAACAAGTGTTTCATATTCCTTAAATGATATTCATTATTACTTTTTCTATTTTTCCCAATTGATCAAAGTATTAATCACTTAAATTTTCCTCTTCCTTTTAATCTTTCTCTAGTTTTTCAAGTTGTTGAGTTAGTTCTAATTTTGAAGTTATAAATGGTTGAAGTTTCTTTGATATGTATCTACTTGCACTCATTAATTATAATTAAGCTTATTTGATTGATTTAATGTTGAAAAGTGTAAAAGTTTATGTAAATAATGCATATAATAGTTAAGAATAGAACTCTGAGAGTTGTTATGATGAGAAATGAATAAATTAAGTGTATTTATATTTTTATATACTTTGATTTATCAATAATATTCATTTACAACTAAATGCTAGTTTAATATCAACTCAAAACCTCTAATGCACCTAAAGATGTGAATTTAAGTTCAAATAATAATTTACTTCAATTAAATAAAGTGAACAAGAATAAATTTACATCTTAATTCATTATCTAAAATAATGACATTATTACATACACTTTTGATAATAACAACAAATTTGAAAGGAAAATAAGTTTTGAAAAAGATTCTTACATAATTATTAGTATTAATCTAATCATTAAATTAGATGACAATCTAGAGAAGATTTAAATTACCTCTGGTTAAAAGTAAATCACCTTTGCTTTAAATAAACTAGTTATTTGGCCATATGTTCCATGTGTTTTAGGTAGTATCCCAGAATTAGGGGAATGGAATCCTTTGAATGCTAAAATAATGAGTTTAAATGGAAATACTTGGTATCTTACGATTTCTGTGTCTAAATCATTTGAATACAAATTTGTAATCACAAAAATGTTTAGTAATGAAATATGTTGGGAATAAACACCCAACAGAAATTATAATATATTAAGTTCTCCATAATCAGTTGAATTGAAAGCAGAATGGGAAAAGAACACTGATTAAAAGGCACTTGGAAAAGTTCCTAGATTTATTCATTTATCAATCAACTATAAAACCAATTCATATAATGATTATTTAGTGGTTGTAGGTAATACAGAATAATTTGGTAAATGGAACCCTAAAAAAGGTAGATTAATGAAAAGATATCTTGATTATAATTGGAAATTAGGAATTATGATATAAGATGATGAATTGGAATATAAATTTGTTGTTGTAAGTGGTGATAATTGTATTTGGGAAGATGGTTGTAATAGAGAATTGGAATTAGATGAAAGAACATATTGTGATATAAGTTTAAATTTTAGTATATTATCTAGCTGCATTTTGGAATTATTAATAAAATAGTAAAATAAATTTGAGAGAATACAATACAGAATGTCCTGTTTGTAGTTAAGAAATGAATGAAGCTAATGTTGTTATTGGATAGTTATGTGGACATTTAATATGTAGTCATTGCAATTAATCAATGTCTCAAAGGTAGTACATATAAGTAAAATGTCCATTATGTCGTAAAGCATTTTTGATTTGATTTTATATATTTTTATATATAATATAATATATATATTTATTATTTAAAACTAAAATAGCGGAAAGATAATATGAATTGTTCATCAAATGAGATGCCTAATTTCTTGCCTCTATTTAAGACTTGTGCTTCATTAAGTTCTTTTGACTGTGATTCAAATCATTCTACAAAGAGATTTGGGGATGAGTTGTTATTGTTGAGTCCTACAAGAAGTCAGCAATTATCAAATCCAAACAAAAAAATTGTAATAGGAGATGATTCTTGGTTGAGAAGAGGAATTTCAATTTCAAGTGAAACAAGCAGTCCTGATAGATAATTTGAAAGATAAGAATTTTTTAGTTCATTCAGAGTTCCAGTTAATTTCTGTGAAGAGAATGATGGATTGAATAGATTATAGCATTTTGAAAAGGATGCTGTTAATTATATCACTTCTGAAACTTTAGTAAAATTGAGTAATTAATAATTTAGTATAAAAATGCTAATGATATAACATTGTTTGATTGTCGTTATAAATTTGAGTTTGAGGGTGGTCATATCCATGGTGCAACTCATCTTTGCAATCCTTTCGAAATAGAATCTATATTTTTTAAATAAATTCCTACTGTAAAACCAGTTATTGTATTATATTGTGAATTTTCAGAGAAAAGAAGTGTTCAAATGTAATTATTCTCAAATAATAGTTTTAGTTATAAATAAATAAGAAATACTGATCGAAACTTGAATCAATATCCAAATCTACATTATCCTGATTTATATATTCTGAATAAGGGATTTTCAAATTACAGTTTAGAATATCCTTCGTAAATTTAGGGTAAATACATTCGAATGGATTCAAAGGAATATTCTACATAATATAAAGAATAAAAATGTTAGACTGACAATCAATGGAATTCATTAAAATTGAAAAAAAGACTATAAAAAATAAATATATGATTTCTTGTTATTAGATGTCAAATCACTCAGAATTCTCAAAATATAATTTGGGATCTGGGAATCTAACTTGTAATGATCTCTTAAACAAGAATTCAGACAAAAAGTCAATCACATTTTCTGGATTCTATTTTACAATCTCTACTAAACCTTCTGTAATGAATGGTACTACATTATCATTCAAATATTATCTATTATTTAAATTAAATATTTTATACCTTAATGGAAGAGATCTTGACTCTAATAATTCTTTCTCATAATTAACACTATGTTCCTATTTAATCTTATATTCTTCTTCTTAAATCTTCCATAATTCATCTTCTTTCTTATCTCTTAACTCTTTCAATTTTTAATTTTGTTCTTATTACTTCAATAATTATTCTTTCTTCTCTTTTAATCTATTCTCTTCTAAATCCTATTCAATATGTTTATAATTCTTATACTTTCCATTCTAAAATAAGAAATTTAAAAAAATACCCTTTCAATAAAACTTCTACATGTATCTTAAATATTAGTTTACTTATTGAATACTGAAATCTCACATATATCCACTTTTAATTCCTTATAAAAATCAATTAAAATAGTATATCCCTTTTTTGTATTGAGTATTTTATAATTCTTTAATCTTTTAAGAAGTACTTCTTCATCATATTTATGAGTTTTTGAGAACTTAATCCTGTCAATTATTTATTCATCACTACCACCAAGTACAATAAAATGTTCAGGTAATATTAATTTATTAAGAGTCACTTTTTATTCTTCACCTTCTCCTTCAATATTATAGAATAGTTATTTAGCTTATGCATATGTCTTTGGATAATTATCTAAAATAAAACCTCTATTCTAACAATCATTCTACATCAATCTCCATTTATATATTGTAATCAATTATTCATCTGTTAATCTTGCTTCAATTTTACTATCATCAAATGGAATATAAGGTTGTTTCAATTATTTTCTTTTCTCTCTTTAAATATCATATTGTGCTTTTGCTTCTTCAACTAATTAATTTCTATTCTCTTCTAAATTTGCTTTTAATGATTCAACTTCTTCACTAGTTTAATTTAAATATTCCTATATCAATTCTTTAATGGTGATATGAGGAATACTAAAATAAGTAGATATTTAATTTGCAATAGTGCTCTTTCCAATTCCAGGAGGACCTGTAATTGCAATACGGATTGGTTTTAAGTTATGATAATCAACAAATTCTTATCTTATTTTTGCAATATTAGCTCTTATACCTTCTTTACACCACCAATTAAATGTAAATTTATCAACTGCTTACTCTTCATCCCCTTGATCTCCTTATTCTTCAAGAAAAGCATCAAATACTTTAGTTGGCTTCATTCGAAGATCAATTTAAAACTCTGGAATAGCTACATCAGATTACTAAATTTTCTGATTTCCTACACCTTTAGATATTGAATCTATAATAGCTTTATGAGATGGATTTTGATTATGATCAATTGCAAATATGTATTTTTAATTAACTGGCTTTTCAACCAACTTTTAAACAAATAAAGCTAAATCCTTAACATGAATGCAAGGTACTTTATTTCTATTATAAAATGTAATAGTATTCTATAACCAAGCTTCTTTAAATTTAGTATAAAAATGATCTTCTCCCATTCCATACAATATACCTGCACAAAGAATAAATGTTTTGAGATTTGGTCTATTAATACTTAAGCATAGACTTTCTAGAGAACATAAACTCTCATATTAAGGTAAAGCTTTTCTCTTAGGATAATCAGTTTCATTAAAACGTGTATATTCTTTTTTTGGAGGAGCATCTTCAGCATCCTCTTATGGTTTTCCTTCTTCTTCTCCTGATTCTGGAGGATAACCACCATCTTCATCTTCTTCTCCAGCTTTTTTTTCTTTTGGATCTGTTGCAGACCATGCCATTACAGATGAAACAAGAATCAAAATTTTTTCTTAATCATAAGATCCTAATTTTAATGTTTTAATGGCATATTCACATTCACTATGATCACATGTATTAATGTCATAAACTATTACATCACTATCTAAAATGACTTTTTATAAGAATGACATTTTAGATGGCTATATTGATATTGAATGATTATGTTACATCAATCACTTTTCTAACTGCTGGATGTAATGGATATTTGCTTTATAAGATTGTGGTGCCTACAATAAGATTTGGATCTTCAGGATGCTCAGTGTCATTACGAAGTTATTAAATCTAAATGAGTACATAGTTGTACTAATTGATAACCAAAGTAAGTATTCAATGAACTTAGGAAGTATCTTTTTGATTTATAGGGTGCTTTCTTTGGTTTAGGAGCTTCGTCAGTTTCCATAAATTATTATTAATAATTAGTTAAAAAAAGGTATATTATAAACATTCTTACATAAAATATTCATAGAATATCATTTTTAGAATAAAAGGTAGAGAGAAATGAATATATATTTAGGAATTTAATTTATAGATAATGTTATTAATAATTTTTGAATATAGAAATACTTATACATTATAAAAAATATTGTTAAACTATTTTAAGTGATTAAATAATTTTTTTCATTGACAAAATTTATCTAGAATGGATTATAACCCATTAAAGATGCCTTGTGATTGGAATGTAGCCAGAAAACATGCCTTAGCCAGACGAACTGCTCCTGATACTAAGGCTCATCATGATGAAGATGATGATGAAGAACCTAAAAAACGTATTTTTAATTTGATATTCAGCTGAAACATGTCCTTGTTGTGGTTTTGAAATAGAGAGAAAGGAAATTCCATATTGTGATGATATTAAATCACTCAAATTTTTAGGAGCAGGTTTTCCATTATTTTATAATTTTTTGAAATTCTGCATACTGTTATTATGTTTACAAAGTCTTGTAGCTATTTTCAATGTTTTAAGTAATTATCATGGTGAATTTTGCGAGTAAATCTAATAGTTATTTAGGTAATAATCCTTGAATCCAGTTTCATAATAGATGGAACCTAATTGTCAAGATTCTTTATTCCTTAAATTATCAATAGCTAATAAACTAAAGTAATTATATTCATATTAATTTAGCAACTCAGAAGTTGTTGTATTTATTCAAAAGGCCAATCTTATTATGCTTATTATAATGATCATTCTACTATAATTTTTTAGAAGACATCAAAAGAAATTAGATAATTAAATAGATGAATCATAATTAACTCCTAGTGATTATACTATTATGGTGACAAATATTCCTAAAACTTTAAATGTTAATTATAGATGGGAATTGACAAATTTATTTTAGAATTATGCAGTATCAGATACAAACTTTTAAATAACTGTTACTAAAGTTGTTTTAGTTTATGATATAACAGAAATTATGACAGAGGAAGCTAAAATAGAAAAATCATTATAAAAGAAAAAGATTGCTTTATAGACATCTAATATGAAATATGATTGTTAAGATGTAAGAGATTGTGAACTAGAAATTGAAGCATCACAAAAGAGAATTAAAGATTTATAAGAAGAGTACTTTTGGACTAATAGATAATTCAGTGGCATTGCTTTTGTATCATTTGAAAGTGAAAAAATGAAAGATTTAGTTCTTAGTTAAAATACACATACATTATTAGATAAAGTGAAAACATTTTTATATTCTGGTAAAACTCCAGGGTTAGATGAAATGGAATTGTAATGGTAGGCTTAAAAACTATTTCTTGAATAAGCACCTGAACCTAATGATATCTTGTGGGAAAATCTTGCTACTTTAACTCAGGATAAGATAGTTGCTAGAATCAAAGGATTCTTTATTACAATTATTGTTTAAGGAATTACATTCTTTTTTATTTATTATTTATCTATACGATGTATTAGATTAGTTTACAATGAAGAACTTGAAAAAAGGAGGATTGGAGTTGATGATAAAGAAAAATTAAAAAATGTTTAAACTATTTCATTTGCTATTGCCTCAACTATTGTTTTAGTTAATAAAATATTAATTGAACCTTTAATGAAATGGATAACTAAAATAGAGAAAATATCTACTAATACTAAATTTTAAATATCATATGCAAATAAATTAACAATTTCTTTATTTGTTAATGCTGCAATTGTTAGTTATGTTATTGATATCTTGATATTTAGTAATGTATATGGATTTGGTGGATTTTTGTATAATGAATCTTTGATATTTATAATGAATGCTGCTATTGCCCCATTAATTTGGTTTATTGATCCTTGGACTTTGATAAGAAAATTATAAAGAGACCATTAAGCTTAAAAAGTTAATGATTGTTTACTTACATAAAAGGAAGCAAATGAAATAATGGAAGAAGTTGATTATTAATTGGCAATGAGATATGCAGACATAATTAAAACTATGTGGTTTACCTTTTTTTTTGGTACTGCTATCCCTATAGGTGTATTCAGTTCTTTAATTGGTTTATGTTTATTTTATCTTATTGATAAGTATAATATATTAAGAAGAAGAACAGTAAAAGAGAGTATATCATAAGAATTATCATGGTAAATGATTAATATGCTTGAATTTATTGTCTTATTTAATCCTTTGGGTAATACAGTAGTCTCATTATTTCTTAACTAAAACTTTGATATTTTTTCAACAATTGGAGTAATTATAGGATTAAGTTTTTAAATCTTGCCAATACATCGTTGTGTTGATAGTATGTTTCCAATTAGAAATTTTGAAGAAGTATTAATTATTTTATGAGTTTAGCCTGTGTCATATAAAAAAGCTTAGATAGAATTTGATACTGATTATGATAGAGAGAATCCTGTAACAAAATAAAAAGCAATTGCTGAGTATTCTTTGTAGTTGTAAGGTATTACATAAGACAGGAAGGTGGAATATTAAATTATGCATGAAAATCATTATTGATTTATTTATATACTTAATAAATGGAATAAAGTTTATTCATTTCATAACAAGAAATAGAACAAGTCAATAAATAAAATACCATTAACATTAATGTTGGTGTCTTAGGACATATTGATTCTGGTAAAACATCTTTGGTTAAGACATTGTCTAAAGTAATTAATTTATCAATATATTAGATAACATCAACAGCCTCATTAGATAAGAACCCTTAGAGTTAGGAAAGGGGAATTACTTTAGATCTTGGATTTAGTGCATTTTACACTCGTAATCCAAATGAGGAGGGAAAGTATCCACAATAAATCATTTAAGATATTTTCAATTTACATTAGTAGATTGTCCTGGACATGCATCATTAATCAAGACCATTATAGGAGGTGCTTAAATTATAGATATGATGTTTTTAGTAATTGATGTAACTAAAGGCATTTAAACTTAAACAGCTGAATGTTTAGTAATAGGTGAGATTTTAGCTGATAAATTAATTGTGGTCTTGAACAAAATAGATTTAGCAACAGATGAAGTAATAAATAAATAAAAAAAAATAATTGCTAATGTTCTATCTAAAACAAAGTTTGGAAATTAAGTTCCATTAGTTCCAGTTTCAGCTATTTAAGCACTTGGAATTGAAGATCTATTNGCAAATAAATTAACAATTTCTTTATTTGTTAATGCTGCAATTGTTAGTTATGTTATTGATATCTTGATATTTAGTAATGTATATGGATTTGGTGGATTTTTGTATAATGAATCTTTGATATTTATAATGAATGCTGCTATTGCCCCATTAATTTGGTTTATTGATCCTTGGACTTTGATAAGAAAATTATAAAGAGACCATTAAGCTTAAAAAGTTAATGATTGTTTACTTACATAAAAGGAAGCAAATGAAATAATGGAAGAAGTTGATTATTAATTGGCAATGAGATATGCAGACATAATTAAAACTATGTGGTTTACCTTTTTTTTTGGTACTGCTATCCCTATAGGTGTATTCAGTTCTTTAATTGGTTTATGTTTATTTTATCTTATTGATAAGTATAATATATTAAGAAGAAGAACAGTAAAAGAGAGTATATCATAAGAATTATCATGGTAAATGATTAATATGCTTGAATTTATTGTCTTATTTAATCCTTTGGGTAATACAGTAGTCTCATTATTTCTTAACTAAAACTTTGATATTTTTTCAACAATTGGAGTAATTATAGGATTAAGTTTTTAAATCTTGCCAATACATCGTTGTGTTGATAGTATGTTTCCAATTAGAAATTTTGAAGAAGTATTAATTATTTTATGAGTTTAGCCTGTGTCATATAAAAAAGCTTAGATAGAATTTGATACTGATTATGATAGAGAGAATCCTGTAACAAAATAAAAAGCAATTGCTGAGTATTCTTTGTAGTTGTAAGGTATTACATAAGACAGGAAGGTGGAATATTAAATTATGCATGAAAATCATTATTGATTTATTTATATACTTAATAAATGGAATAAAGTTTATTCATTTCATAACAAGAAATAGAACAAGTCAATAAATAAAATACCATTAACATTAATGTTGGTGTCTTAGGACATATTGATTCTGGTAAAACATCTTTGGTTAAGACATTGTCTAAAGTAATTAATTTATCAATATATTAGATAACATCAACAGCCTCATTAGATAAGAACCCTTAGAGTTAGGAGAGGGGAATTACTTTAGATCTTGGATTTAGTGCATTTTACACTCGTAATCCAAATGAGGAGGGAAAGTATCCACAATAAATCATTTAAGATATTTTCAATTTACATTAGTAGATTGTCCTGGACATGCATCATTAATCAAGACCATTATAGGAGGTGCTTAAATTATAGATATGATGTTTTTAGTAATTGATGTAACTAAAGGCATTTAAACTTAAACAGCTGAATGTTTAGTAATAGGTGAGATTTTAGCTGATAAATTAATTGTGGTCTTGAACAAAATAGATTTAGCAACAGATGAAGTAATAAATAAATAAAAAAAAATAATTGCTAATGTTCTATCTAAAACAAAGTTTGGAAATTAAGTTCCATTAGTTCCAGTTTCAGCTATTTAAGCACTTGGAATTGAAGATCTATTAAAAATTCTACTTCAAAATATTACTATTCCAAATAGATAAGCATAATTAAATAAGGGTCTTTTGTTTATGATTGATCATTGTTTTTAAATAAAAGGATAAGGAACAGTAACAACTGGTACTATAATATAAGGATCTATGAAACCAAATGATGAAGTCTTTTTTCCTATGCTAAATATGAATAAAAAGATCAAAAGTTTATAGATGTTTAAAAAACCAGTTTAAATGGGAGAACCTGGAGATAGAATAGCTGCTTTATTTACTAATTTAGATGCAAAAGAAATTGAAAGAGGAATTGTATGTTAACCAGGGATAGTATCATTATTAGAAAATATAGTTATTGATTTTAAGAAGATTAGTTATTATAAAGGATAATTGAAGTCTTAGAATAAATTTCATATCACTTCTGGTCATTTGACTGTAATGGGATAATTGAAATTAATAATAAGACCAAAGAATTTATAGTTAGAAATTAATAGTGAAGGAGAATATTTAGAAGATTATGAAGGTATATATTGATTATCAATATTATTATAGATTTTGGAAAACTTCAAGAAAAGTATAATTTATATGGCGTGTTATAATTGGAGAAACCATTGATTGCATCTATGAATTCCTTAGTTATTGGTTCAAAATTAGATACTGATTTAGAAGCTAATATATGTAGAATTGCATTTTATGGAAATATTCTGCACTCTTTTACAGGTTAATAAATATTTCAATAGAATTACTTAAGAATTTTTAGAAAGAAAAGTAAAAATGGAAAGGTGGAAAAGGTGATAGATAATTACACTTTACTTATTAAGGATTTATTTAAGAAAGAAACAAATATTGCTAATTATATTGGAAAATTGATTGTTATTAAATAAGGAAATATTTAAGGTAAAATTGAAAGTGCTTTTGGGAAGAGTGGGAAAGTAAAAGTATTTGTAGAATCAGGAACGAATTAAGATATGATAAATAGTGATGTTGTTATGATTTATAAAAAATATCTATTTCATAAATGAAACATAATAATATTCATAGATTTGATAACATTTCTTCTATTTCTTGTGTATGTTGTTGGAATTTCTTTTCAAAAAGCTTTGCTTCTACTAACACTATTGAACTGTTAAATTGTTTAGATCGAGGTTAAAGATCATAATTAGAACTTCTATGAGTATGTCTCTGTTCTGGTTTAAGAGATTATAGAAATTTCTCAATTTAGAATGCCTTAGCTGATGCGTCAATATTGGAATTTATTATGGATCTAAAGCATTCATAGTTACTCATTATTTAAACATAATCTGGATTACTGCTATCAATCAAATGAGTTATAAGAGCAGTGAGTAGGTTATCCATTAAATATATAATATATAATCATTTTATGGGTTTTTAATCTGAATAACTAACATTGATGGCTTTAACAATAATTTCTTTGAACTCTTAAAAGCTTATCTAAAGAAGATATATATATTTAAAATACAGATCCATCTCCATTAGCATCTACTTCTGCTAATAGCTCTTTCCATACTTCATCAC